GATGCAGGATGTGGGATGCGGATGCAGGACATGGATGCCAATGCAGGATGCGGATGCAGGACACAGGAGCACCCTCAAAGTGGTACCCAAGAGCATCACCCCCAGCCCTACCTGAGCTCCTCCTCACCCCCAATGGGCGCTGGCTGTGGGAGCTTGGAGTCCAGGTTGTAATAAACCCCTTGGAAGCAGCGCAGGGAGAGCCAGTGCTGGCGCCGGAGCGGGACCGGGACCGGGATCGGGAGCGGGATCAGGCCCAGGAGAGGCCCCGCGGGGACATTGAGGATGAAGCCGAAGATGTTGGGGAGCACCAGGAGCTCCAGGGGCCTGTGGGGAGGGGGATAGGGGGGGTTTGGGGGGGGGTTTAAAGGGGTTTGGGGCATTGGAAGGGATGGGGATGGGAGGGGGGTTGGGGTGGTTTGAGGGTGTTTTGGGGTGGTTTTTGGGGTGGTTTTGGGGTGATTTGGGGCTGGTTTTGGGTCTTTTTGGGGTGATTTGGGGCTGGTTTGGGGTCATTTTGGGCTGGTTTTGGGGTGGTTTTGGGGTGGTTTGGATGGGGTAGTTTTGGGGTCATTTGGGTTGATTTTGGGGTAGGTGGGTGGGTTTGGGGTGATTTTGGGGTGGTTTTGGGGTTATTTTGGGGTGATTTTGGGCTGGTTTTGGGGTGGTTTCAGGGTTATTTTGGGGGGGTTGGGGTGATTTTGGGCTGGTTTTGGGGTGGTTTTGGAATGGGTTTGGTTTTGGGGTTCTTTAGGGTTGATTTTGGGGTAGGTGGGTGGGTTTGGGGTGATTTGGGACTGGTTTCAGGGTGGTTTTGGGGTGGGTTTGAGCTGGTTTTGGGTTGGTTTAAGGTTGGTTTCAGGGTGATTTTTGGGGCTGGTTTCGGGATGATTCTGGGCTGGTTTGGGGTGATTTTGGGCTTGTTTTGGGTCATTTTTGGTCGGTTTTGGGGCTGGTTTCAGTGTGATTTGGGGCTGGTTTGGGGTCATTTTGCGTTGGTTTTGAGGCTGGTTTTGGGTAATTTTGGGTTGGTTTGGGGGCTTTTTTGGGCTGGTTTTGGGGTGATTTGGGGCTGGTTTTGGGTCATTTTTGCTGGGTTTTGGGGCTGGTTTTGGGTCCTTTTTGGTTGGTTTTGGTGCTGGTTTCGGGGTGATTTGGGGCTGGTTTTGGGTCATTTTTGGGTTTGTTTGGGGTCATTTTGGGTTGGTTTTGGGTCATTTTGGGTTGGTTTTGGTGCTGGTTTTGGGGTGATTTGGGGCTGGTTTTGGGTCATTTTGGGTCGGTTTTGGGTCATTTTGGGTTGGTTTTGGTCTGTTTTGGGGTGATTTGGGTGTTTAGGGTCATTTGGGTCGGTTTTGGGTCATTTTGGGTCGGTTTTGGGCTGGTTTTGGGGTGATTTGGGGCTGGTTTTGGGTCATTTTGGGTCGGTTTTGGGTCATTTTGGGTTGGTTTTGGTGCTGGTTTTGGGGTGATTTGGGGTCGGTTTTGGGTCATTTTGGGTTGGTTTTGGTGCTGGTTTTGGGGTGATTTGGGGCTCATTTGGGGTCATTTTGGGTTGGTTTTGGGTCATTTTCGGTTGGTTTTGGGGCTGGTTTTGGGGTGATTTGCGTCTGGTTTGGGGTCATTTTGGGTCGGTTTTGAGTCATTTTGGGTCGGTTTTGGGTCATTTTGGGTCGGTTTTGGGTCACTTTGGGCTGCTTTGTGCTGCTTTCGCCCTCTCTCACCTCCTCTTATCCCACCAGATGAGGGCCAGCCCCTGCCCCTGCAGGGCCACCATCAGCACGTTCACGTCGTAGTTCCCCAGGAGGCTGCGGTGCGGGTTCAGCCACGCGCCGGGGGCCAGCCTGAGCCCAACCCCAACAGAACAGTCAAAAACACAGAAATCGCCCCAAAAAATGCAGAAACCACCCCAAAAAATGCAGAAACCACCCCAAAAAATGCTGAAAACTCCCCAAAAAACCCTGAACCCCCAAAAATCCCAACCCCCTAAAACTGCCCCCAAAAAACTCAAAACCCCCAGAGACCCCAAATCCCCCCAAAAACCCAAAACTTCCCCCAAAATCCCGACCCCCCAAAAAACCCCAGCCCCCCCCAAAAGAAACAAAACCCACCCAAAACCCCCAAACCTCCCCCCAAAATCTCCAAAACCTCCCCCAAAACCCCAAAGCACCCCCAAAACACCAAATAACCCCCAAAACCCCCAACCCCCCTAAAAACACAACCACCCCATAAAACCCCAAAAACCTCAAAACACACCAAAGACCCCAAACCCCCCCAAGACCCAAAAACCCCCAAAACCCCACCAAAAATGCCCCAAAACCCCACCAAAGCCCTCCCAAAGCGTTGAAACCATCCCAAAAACCCCAAAACTCCCTCCAACCCCCCCCAAACCCTTGCAAAACGCTGAAACCGTCCCCAAAACCCCAAACCCCCCAAAACCCCCAAAAACATCCCTCCAAACCCCCCAAAACGCTGAAACCGTCCCCAAAACCCCAAAACTCTC